CAAGTGGGCATCCAAATATTGTGGAGATAGTTGACGTCTACGAGAACTCCTATAATGATGTGCAATGTTTGCTCGTTGTCATGGAAAGCATGCGTGGTGGCGACGTGGTGGCGAGCTTTTTAATCGGATCCAGGTAAGCGTGAGCCTTCTAAGGACGTTTCATAACTCATTTATAGAAAAGCCCCTATTCGTTAAGTCTCAAAGACCAGATATGAAAAATGTTGTCATGGTTCAAACTGCCACTGGGCAAGTATGCGCGAGCACTCTTGACCAAGCGCTCACACCCCCCCCCCTCCTCCCCCTTAGAGTGGAGAACCTCTTCAAAAATCGATATCTAATAGTTCGAATTCAAGGTTAAGTTTTTATTTTTATTGAAGTCTTTAGTTTAGACAATTCGGTTTATGCCCATGATAGTTGAAAGCCAAGTACGGTTTCAATAAGTTTGCAAACCTACACTCATGATCGAAATTTCCATCCGGTTATCTGGGGCGAGGTATGAAATTGCTTTCCAACCAGTGAATGATTAAGTGAAGTAGCCAAAATCATACTTATGGCTCTCCTTATTTCATGTCTCCAACTTTCAAGTTCCTGCACACATCAAGAGGTTTATTTTTAATAGTATTATACCATATTCGTTTAGGAACGTGGACAACAGGCGTTTACCGAAAGAGAAGCTGCAGGGATCATGTACGAGATTTGTTCTGCCGTTGCTCATCTCCACAGAATGAATATTGCTCATCGCGATATCAAACCGGAAAACTTGCTCTATGAGTGAGCTTTTTAAGACATTCTATTTTTCAAAGGTTCATCGTTCGTGTTAGGGCTCTCAAAAGAGAAGGAGCAATAAAGGAAGTGCCGAGGGATTTTTCATCAAGGGATTTGGGTCTAGAATCCTTGAGAGCTCAGGGGTAGAGTTTATGCAAACTACTATGATTTGGGAGCGGAGATGTTACCTTTTTTACAGCTTCAACCGCCGCTTACTTCTAAGAACGACGTCAGATTCCGCAATTTTGGCGGCTGACACCAGCCGCTAATTTTTGCGCGTTTCGCCAGTGCCATTTGCCAGAATCGCGAACTCTGACCTCAGCCTAACCGTATGCAGACCTACTTTTCCCTAATCTTACACTTCCCATGGCGCACGAGACATTTAATGTTAGAGTGTACATCGGCGTTACAAGCTTCCGTTACGCTAGGTGACCAATGTTCTTGTAAATTAATTTTTTTAGAGTAATGGATGTTTCAGAGATAATACACCTAATGCACGATTGAAGCTCACCGATTTTGGATTTGCAAAACGAACCGATGAATCAGAACCACTTGGTCTTGCCACTGCGTGCTACACACCGTACTACTGTGCTCCTGAAGTTGGTCAAATAATTATAATTTTTCGTATTTTTCATGAAGTATTTCTCGCATTATTCTGTTAAGGTGCTGGGCGCTGAGAAATATGATAAGTCGTGCGATCTCTGGTCCGTAGGCGTCGTTATGTATATATTGTACGTTTTCCTCAACTTTTTTAAGGAATGCTTGTTCGCTCTTTTATGAAGCAATTATCTTTTCCTCTACTTTTTTTTCTACTGCTTCATATAGATTGTGTGGATATCCCCCCTTCTTCTCTCAAAATGGGCTCCCTATGTCGCCAGGAATGAAAGCAAAGATAAAATCAGGGCAGTACACCTTCCCCTCACCCGAATGGGATTGCGTCTCTGAAGCCGGTAAGGGATTTCCTCCGTCTTCTTGCGTCATTTAAGGACCATCATATTATCGACTACTTTTTAGCCAAAGATCTTATCAAGAAATTGCTGAAAACAGATGCAGCTGAGCGAATTACGATAGAACAGACGATGCAGCACAAGTGGATTACTCACTTTAAAAAGGTTTGTTCGTATTACACATTTTATTTTTGTTTATGGGAGACGTTTCCATTTTCTCCGGCATGGTTATTTTAGTTTTATTTATATAAACTTAACCCCAAATAGATTTACCTCAAGTCGTTCTCGATTATAGTTCCTAATTTCGCAGCAATTTGCGAATTTCATGTTTGGATATCAACAATGTTTAGGTGCCGGATACACCTCTGTTCACTAGCAGCGTCTTAGTTGATCAAAAGGCACAGTGGGGAGAAATGCAGGTATGTAATCAAAACTCTTATTAATCAACTTTTTTATACTCATTTCATTGATTGCATGCCTGAGGGCTTCTAGAAACGTGTGAATTGACTGGTTATGATTTTGTCGTGATTGTTAACTGCTGTTTTAATGCGGCAGTTCGCGTCGCCAATGTTTCACAAGATGCTGAGTAGTGGCCACACTACGAAGTTTTGTCTACAACTCTGCATTCTTGTGGCTGGGTTTCTTTTGCACTCCATCTTTACTGTTTCTGGCTGTAAATTGTTGGTGGGTTCAGTCTGAATATCGTCTTCGGTAACTTATGTTGGTGGTTTGAATCACTGGATCAAGGAAGTGCGAAAAAATAAAAATGAATGTTAGGTGATGGGACTATGAAATAAGAAGTTGTAGAGCAACGTTTCTCAAGTTTCGGAAGACGAACATTTTTTTCGAAACTTTTGGTCCATATTATGGAAAAGTAGGTCTAATCAAATAGTGTTGAACGAGTTCAATATCGTCTAAGAAGGAAAGGCGGCACCCGGTCTCGCAATTTCATTTTAAGTTCCACATTCTTTCTCCCTCAGAGCAATGCTTTTTATTCTGTGTATTGGTTCTACATTAATCCATATCGTAATATTTTCTTTCTTTGTCTGCGGCCATACTTTGTTCTCACTTTCATCTTTTCCAGTCTTTTTTTATGCTTCTTGCTCTTCTCTTGACACTTGCATGGTTCAAAGAAAAGGCTACTCCACTCTCCAGCTACCAGGCATTTTTCGATGGCCGAAGCATCACGTTGTTGTCGTACATATGCCAAGGCCTCGAAGATCAGGTGTACACCTCGCATTAAAAGCAACTACTGAGTTGTTGGCTCTTGAACCCTACAGGTGTTGAAGCTTCAGAACGATCATCTAATCAGCAATCTAAAATTCCTACAATTACCTCTGACGGGAAATACAATACAAATGTATGTACGTATTTCCAAGTGAAGACGCAAGGCAAGTCTATCATCTTTAAGTGGGCGGCAATTTCAGCTCGATCGAATAAGATTTTTATGATACTTAAAAGGAAGCGGGGACGTGAAGGGGTGGTCTACATCGATGGAGTACAGAAATGCCACAACCGTTAATATCTAACAACTATCGTCTGTGTCGTTTAAGCGTCATCAACATTGTTTGCCTAGCTCAAACAAATCGGCTCGATGTTGTGCACTTCACAGCTTGCACAGAATATGATGCATCTGTTTGTGAGACACCTTTGTTGAGTGTGGACCGTTTATTCGTTCGAGAATGAACGGCAGAAATGTTTACAGCGCACATTTCACGGTTCTCTTTCCCAGAAACAATCTCATGAAACTGAGTATTCGTTTGATTGAGCCCACCGTTAACTTGATGTCATAGAGCGTTTTGACTTATTCACGTCACTAGTAGTTTTTTCTACATTTTATGATGAACAGTTGTGCCGCAGAGATGAGCTGTCGACTGTTGCTTGTTTTTCAAGTGATCAAACCTCTGTGATGGGTTCATCCTATGGTAAGGGCAGTCCGAATGGAGGATGCAGAAAGACAATATAAATAATTTATCTATCGTCACAGAAGTCGGTGTATCAATGTTAGGGGTGTGGTGCAATACGTGCTGTAATGTGGTCTATGAGCGCATTCATAGTCGGTCCTCCGATCATAACGATTTTAACGATCTCGCAGTATTGGGTCGTCCAATCCTCGGTCGCGATTGATACGCATTTCATGTTGTGAGCGTTACGATCGGATGACCGACTATGAATGCGCCATGACAAGGCTCGGGTGTTTGGGAACAGTTGACCTGCATCATAAGTGTCATTTTTCGACAAAATGTGGGAACGATATCATGATGAACAAAAGATGAGTCCTCTCCATCCGAATAGAGAAAATGGGGCACAGAAATGGATCGAGTGGCAACGCAAATAAGTTGCTTTTATCAGTCATTACGGCTTTAAAGACAGTCACGAGATTGATTTTCAATGGCAAGCTAAGGAAAGCTTATGTTTGCGGAGTGGACTAGAGGTCCTGCTCAGTGTCATCACTAGTAAGGGCGCACGCATAGTCGGTCGTCCGACAGCAACGGTCGCAACTGTCTGACTGTCTGACTGCATCTAATCGTCGAATACTCAGGCAAGTCCGACGATCGATACGCATCCAATGCTGTGCGACACTTGCAGTCGTTGCTGTCGTCCGACCGACTATGCGTCCGTTTCAGTGGCAGTGGCGCCCTTATCAATGAAGTGATAAGGCGCCGAAATTCACTCAAGTTCAGCAAAACCAAGACTTATCGATGTGGAAAGGGGTGCGATAAGAGCGTGCTAGATATGATACCGTTATCGTTATCGTCCCGTTTTCATTCTGGAGTGCACCTCTTATCAAGCAGCCGCACCTTCTTATCTCATCGTATCATATCTTCCATGGGCTTACACTCGTCCAACAATTACTGCCTCACACCTTATCGATTGATAACGCGAGGGTAGCAAATCCAGCGTGGAAGCCAGCGTGACTGCTTCCTTTTAAGGAAGCGATCACGCTGGCTTCCATGTGAATCGACGAACTCCGCGTTATCAAACGATAAGGTCGGAGATAGACAGTGGTTCGACGAGCATAACCCTACTATGGAGTGCACGATCGATTTAGATAAGAAGATACGGTGCTTTGGAAAGAATGTGCACGTCCGAGCATGAAATCGAGCGATAACAATTAACGTATAGCATCTAGACACGTTGCATTCTGCTGACCACTTCTTTTGCGTCGTTATTGGAGTGAATTTGTTAGTTTCCCACCGGTCGGTTTTGCAGCAAATGCAAAAAGGTAAATTGGCGTAGCTACTGCATTACATCGCAGCGAAACAACGTGATGATGGCAATGAGGAAATAAGTAAGGGTTTTTTGGATGACACTATCGCGCAGCAAAAAATGGTCATGGGCAGTTGTGGTAGTCATTGCGACGAAGTGTGATTGATGGGCGAAGTCTACCCAGAAAGCCATTATTGTTTTATGGCTAATGAAAGGCACATTCCGTGATTGTCGTGGACTAGTGCGCCGGGAAAAAAGCGAGGACGTGGCAAGTGCTTTCGTTTGCCCACTACCGTGCAAAGACTTGCGCAGTAGTGAGCAAACGAAACGGCTAACATTCTTTTACATTCAAGTGATCTTTGATTACGTGGGCGTGGTCTACGGCCTCTTAAAGAGCTTCAGCGTTGAAATTTTAGAATTACCCTGATCATTTTATCAAATTTCCTATGTGATAGAGCACCACTTCAGTTGTACTCACGATGAAGGATATCGCAGCACTGAATGGATAGACTGCTGGTTGTGCTCCTTTTTTCACTGGCATCTCTCTGATTGCGTTGCGTCTTCACTCGTAACTGTTAAAAGAATCGTCTACGGAGAAATCATGATTCTATCTCACCCAAAAATCACTGGCTTGAGACTTATCATCACGATGAATGAAGAGAACAATAAAAAATGCGTTGCTTACGGAAACAATTAGAAAATCCGAGGGACTGTTACGCGTTCAAATTCCCGCCATGCATCTGTCACAAATGTTAATGTTTGACGCGATTTCACTCGCTTCTCGGGGTCTTCCCTAAGACCTCTTTTTGAATTTTTCCACCTATACCAGTACCATTTTTCCTTTCTACTACATCCTGTTCTTTCTATCGTCCTATCTCTACTCTCCAAATTCGAATAGTCTGAGTCGATTCTTCCAATGCGCCGTTTGATATGTGGCCACCCCAAGGCGCACCTTTTACAATGCGTCCCTTGTCTCCGCTTGACGAACCCACGACCGTCCTCAGACTGTGGTTTTTGTGAGCTTTTCTCTCCGTTAACTGGGTCTTCTTGCGTCAAACTTTGTCTATAGAAAACGCAACTATATATTATTTGTGTTGGAAAGAAATCAGGAATTTTCCATGAACGATTCTTTGAGCAATATTTTAATTACTGATCCAAGGCGTTGTCTTTCAAGGTGCGAATGAACTACTGATCTTTTAGGACGAAATGGAGAAGACATTGGCATCGATGCGTGTTGGAAACGAAAGCATGCAGATTAAAAGCCTCGCAGAATCAAATAACAAGCTTTTGATGAAGCGAAAGCAACGAACGGAGGAAGGAATACCAGAAGCCAGTTGAGTGAAGCGCTGTGATTGCTTTAGGCTTCACTTTATTGAACGTATTGGTTTTCATTTCCTCAACGATTGTGATTTTGAACCATGAGGCTTTGTAGTACGAGTAGTGTCGACCAAAGCTTGTGCTCGTTTTTTTTGCGTATGTAATTTTTTGGTTTTTATTGAAGTACTGGCGGATACGATCTAAGTGTTCTACTGAGTAGCCTGACTTCATCCTCATCGGGGTATGTTTCACTTAACATTTGTCCAAAGGGCGCACATCCGCACATCGGTACTGTTCACGGAGAATGAAAGCGTTTTTGTTTGCTTATTTTTTGCCTGATTTAGTCTACGGCACGAACATTTAGCATACTCATGCAGCATTCTTTCTTGACTCGCTAACTTTCATCATACTTAATCTTTTTAGATTCCGGTTTGTCCTTTCATACAGTATTATTGGACGTGTAGCATGTTCACTAGAGAAAAATTCCTCTTGAGTTGTCTTTGATTTCATAGAACTGAACCCTCCTTAGTTGATAAGCTCAAAAATTGATGCAATTTGTATAGTCCATGGCTCTCCACTGCTCGGGTCTACGGTGAACAGCTATGAAGCGCAAGCAGGTGAATATGTAGCTCCATCGTGGGCTTACTAGTTAACCTATGCGCTTCGTAGTGGTCGCCACAAATGACCGGCTGAAGGGCATGGAGTGAATATCCTCGTAAAAATATACGTTTATATGCTGTATTAAGTACTGTGTGGCCTATACATCACCTTATTCATTTCGTGAGTTACCATTACAATTTCATAGATCGATATTTCAATTGGATGTTGTGACAGTATCTGTCGGATCAAGATTGTTTTATAAAATAGCATTGTTCTGTAGATAAAGAATCACTATATTTGTGATCACTGTACATCGAAATGTATCTAGTGTACCTACGGAAAAGACACTATGTCATGAGCATGTTCTGGGATCAGGGTTTCTGTCAATCGAAAGGTGTGCCAAAACTGAGCTTTTTTGAAGGAGTGAAGAAAGCAGTGCATGGTGCAATAGTGTACATGTGTGGGAGCTCCCAAACAGTACTACAATACGATGAATTCCTCGCAGGGTCAAGCGTGCGTTGAGGAATCCTCGACATGTCGCAGAGGGGGGTCGTGATTGGCCCGCTGGGGAGAGATCGGGCCCGATTGATACAGTAGGATCATCGTCGGAGGACAAACATTAAGGATCGAATCGATACCAGGCCAGAGTATTTCCAATAACAATTGATTCCGTCCACACAAAATCTTCGTGATTTAGAGGTGTCCGCTTAGCAATTCTTAGTGACTTTAGTGTTTCATCACCACACAAGTCAAAGGATCCGAAATTCGCACGTTTTCTAGGGATATTTTATCTTTCAAGTAGGTCCTCAAATCCAACGAGATGTGAAGCACACGGCGCATCCCAGAGTGGGCCCAGTTGGTTGCGCGCGCTTCAGCTACGGCTATCTTGATAACGAATCTTAATTCAGGAAGAATCAAGAGGGTTCTGAAAGAGTTCATGTTAAATTACAGAGAGGAGTACACTATTCAACAAGAAACGCAGCCTTCAGCGTCAAATTCACAAGCATGTAACCTTTAAAGTTGAGACCCGCTAAACAATTTTACACTTTTTGCAGAGAGAAAAGCACGAGGATTTTGAATCTGCTCCTACTTCAGTATGTAATCGCTCCTGCAAGGAGCTATAGTCGTTGGGATAGTGCTAATGTAGCGAAAAAGTACCTTTCGGCGGTACTCGGGCAAAAATCCTCAACGTGGCCATTTTTTAAATAGTGAACGTATTTAGCAGTTTTAGTTGCCTATAGAAAGAGCAAATCTTCTAGTTTATGATGACGTATTAACTTTCCAGATTGCATGAGTTTGAACGGAGTTATGGCTTTGGAAAGCGTAAAAACTCGCACTCATCACGAATTTTCCTCGTTAATTTTGCAAAAATCCTCAACGTGGCCATTTTTTGAGTACTGGACGTATGAAGCTGCTTTAGCGACCGTTTGATAGAGAAAATCTTCTAGTTTTGTATGACGTATCAACTTTTTGAATTTGACGGAAATGAAGCAAGTTATTGCTCCGGAAAGTGTAAAAACTCGTGCTCGTCTCGAATTTTCCTCGTTATTTGATCTAAATTTGTTATTTCTTATAACTTCCTGTAATTTCAGTACTGATTAGAAAAAGCTCTTCACAAAACTCCCAAATCAGCTTTCAGATTGAAAATTCGTTAACTTTGAAGAAAGTTATAATCATTTGAATATTTGTTCAAATTTCAATAGTAAATAAGCTGCTCCACGGTCAACGCCAAAGTCCAGTCAACACACAGCTGGCGAAGGCTTTTACAAGGCTTCCTTTGAGCGAAAGGGGGACGTGTAAATTGAGAACCATAATCTGTGTAGTACTAGAATTTGGTAAGTCTTGTGGAGGAAATAAACAAAGAAGAGGTGTTGTCATAGTACGCCATTTCTAGTGACTAGTTTGACGTTTTTTGCTCCGTTTCTCGTTTGCTCGTTTGACAGGACTCGTCATTAATGATCATTCTTTGACTTTTTCACTTTTATACTTTTTAAACGAGTTTTTTTGTGGACGATGGGGTAGCAGGGCTTTTTTATGAGCAGTTTTGGTGGAGAATTAAACAACTTTTTCATAGTTCGGCTTTTAAAGAGGGTTGTTTCATGGACTTCGGCCTTCGGCATAACTTCGTATAATGTATGCTTCGTTCCGTGGTACATTCGTACATAGTAAGTAGTGCCTCACCCCACCCTAGGTGTACATCCCTGGCGCACAGTTTTCGTGTACGGACCGTGAGTTCAGGAGTGTAGGAGGCAGTTAGTGGCAGGTGGGGGGTGAAGCGGCAGTATATAGGTACGAATAGGACGGAACTGAAGTTATAAGACAGTTGCAGAGGGGAGGGGGGGAGGTCGTATTTCCGAATTTTCCTCGAAGCCTCGCTTGACCCTGGTCAGCACGCAGCGCTAAGACGGTTAAAAAGCTTCGTTCAACTGAAGGGGGACGTGTAAATTGATAACCGTACTCTGTGTAGTACTAATTTTGGTAAGTCTTGTGAAGAAATAAATAAAGAAGAGATGTTGTCATAGTATGCATTTTTAGTGAGTAGTTTGAGGTTTTCTGCTGCTTTTTTCGTTTGCTCGTTTGGTAGGACTCATCAATAATGATTAATTTTTTGACTTTTCACTTTTGTACTTTTTAAAAGAATTTTCGGTTGACGGTGTGATAGCAGGGCTTTTTTTATGAACAGTTTTGGGGGAGAATTAGACAACCTTTCCATAGTTCGGCTTTTGAAGAGGGTCGTTTCATGGACTTCGGCCTCTGGCGGAGGGGGGGGGGGGGGGGTCGTATTTCCAAATTTTCCTCGACGCCTCGCTTGACCTGTAGTCGCTGCGGTTGACAGAATCTAAGATCGTCCATTGCGGTAGAGCCAATCGTTGGCTGGGGTCTCGCCCTGTTAAACAAACTTCCAGAGGTTGACTAACTCGTTGGAGATAGAGGTGAACCTCTACGTGTACGAGTGGATCAACGGTGAGGTTCGTATATTCTGGTTGAGGTTTGTAGGGGGGGGGGGGTACCACTTTAGTCTTTCGCTGGGAAAGACGTGTGGATGAGGTGAAATAAATTTGGTCGCGTGAGCGGTGATATTGGATGGGGTGAGTGGAGGGCGCGCAGGATAAAAATTTGCCGTTTCAGCGCGCGTATATATCCTCCTAGAAAAGGAAGTGGGAGTGTGGAGAAAAGTTGATTTAAATGGTGGAATGGTGGAAAGAGAAGGAAGTTTCCGGAGATATTTACCGTCTTCAAGTTCAGAGTGACTATATACCCCGCGCTCGACGGCATTTTTGGAGGAAAAGTGGGCGGGGTTTTGATGGAAGATGGAGATGGTGGAGGTAGGAAGAGGGTCGTATCAAATCCACGCTGGGGGAAGGGGGGTCGTAAAAATTTTTCAAAAAGTAACAACGATAAGACTGACCCTGGTTGGGGGGGGGAACCACGCGGCGGCGCGGCGTTCTGTTTGTCTGCTCCTCCAAAGGCTTAGTACAACGGGCAGTTACTACTTCGCCCCCTCGTGGCAGTTTGGAGATATGCTCGTATAACTTCGTATAATGAGAGGAGAGACAAACAGAGCGCGCGCCGCGCCGTGCCCCCCCCCCCCCCCGCCTCCCCTCACTAAATTAAGCACCACCTTCACTTTTTGTTAGCGGGTAATTGTTCCAGACTTGGTTGGGAGTATATACAATAGACAAAAGACCCAATCAAATCTTTCTCATTATTTTCCCTTGTAGCTTACCTGACCGGTGGAAGTATCGTAAAAGGGGGAAGGGGGAAGTGGGGTGGCGCTGATTTAGGCGCTCCAGGAATCAAATCCTGAGACACCGTCCACGCTAACAAAGCCTTCCATCGCTCAGAGGTCGCATACATCGTATAACTTTTGGTTGCGAGGATTAAAATGACTGTAATCGGATTGTCCTCCAGTGCAAAATCATGTAGGGTGTGGTTCATATGAGAGAAAAGGATATTTTTAGTGTTTTGCAGCGCGAATATAAGTTTACGCATGCGGAGAAGCTAACAGGTTTACCTCTTGTCTATTGAACAGAAGATGTCGATGGACCGTGGTTCCCACAGCGAAAAACATCTTCGCGGCTGCGAATTACGCGAAAAAGGTCGGCCTATCTGTTCTAGCGCCATCACAGTCCACGTATGGGCCAGAATCCAACACCATGCGTTCTAACCCGGATCGATAAAGAAATAGGATGGTTTAGCAGTCGGCATTCTGAATAAAAATCTGCGACGCTACATTATTCTTTGCTTGTTCTCGCTTGACATAAACCAGGGGGGGAAAAGGGTTTAAACTTTTTTCATTACATTACTTCCTCTTTGCTCTTTTTCACGTTCTTACAGCCGAGTGGAGCATCTGACTGCTGTCTTGCAGGTCGCTAACATGTCCGTTTTCTGTACCATCATTACAGCACGACTTCTTCTATTGTACTTCTGCGTAATTATATTGTGATGATTATAGGATGGCCTATGGCCAAGTGCATTCAATTGCGATAGGCAACCAAATAGCACGGACGATGTTCGAAATAATCTAAGTAATGAGACGCACCATCCTTTAAACAGCCAGTAGCTGAGAGCTTTATCTTCTGCACTCATGACAGCCTGCAGGATTGTATTTGTCCCGGGTTTGAGTATCGAAAAAACGAGAGGAGCGTCGGGTGCAGACCATACACCACAAGTGACGACGGCCTCCAATAAAATCTGGTTAGTAGTGGTTCATGGTTATAGCTGATTTTTGGTAAATGATAGTTGTAATTAGTGACAACTGATAGAATACAACTGCAACAGGCTAATCATTTTAACTTCCAGAAAATGTTTACATTTTGTGGAAGCCGTCGTCACTTGTGGTGTGTGGTCTGCACGACTCTTCTCGTTTTTAAAAAGGGGGAGTAGACAAATTATAGTGAAAACGTCGAATTAAAAAATTTTGAAGAGAGGAAAAACAAAGAATTAGTTCGACTTCTGTTTGGCACATGCTCTCAGACGGAAGCCAAACTAATAGAATTATTCTCCTTCTGTGCTCTTCAGTTGATAACTTAGTTATTTAGATAAAATTTGGACTAGTGAAGCTTCTGCGCGACTTCTCTAAGTCTTCAATAGGATTTTATTGAGTTTCCTAGATAAACGGATTGAGAGTTGTTGTTGGAAGAGCGCCAGCTAGCGTAATAATCCAATACTACTAGAAGTAGCTGATTGAGCCTCATATAAAAATGGGTGGCTGGTGAGATATTCCCTAAAGTAATTCATCTTAACAGGAGCTTAAAGAAATGAAGAAGGGGCGAAGAGAGGTAAGTTTACACAACTCATGCATCCCTACCGCTAGACTCTGCGCTCTGCCATGAAGCCCGTCCGACCTCATTCGGGACCGGGTACAAAATTATCAACAGCGAAGCACTTTATTCAATCGGTACGGTAACAGTCACACATACGATCAGATTTAGATTTATTATAGGGTCTACAATGGGCCTGAAACTTGACACAGCAGTTGAAATCGTCGCTCAAAGAGATAGTCACTCGGGGTAGGAATATCTGAAGAACGGGTTTACTGTAAAGTGTTTGGACCGGTTTTTTGTCGCTCTACTTCCGCTTGATGAGACATTGGATCGGGGAATAGTAGCATGGCTTGAATCGTTTCATCGGCGCCGAATCTTTCTTGTCCTTCTGAAGGGATCAGATTTACTGTATGATTATATGGTATGATAAGGAACATTATGTCAAGCACGGTTCGGAACCTGTAATTCGGGCGTGGGATTGTCGACAAGGCCAAGTTCCCTGCCGCCGCGAAGTGGTCCAAATCCTAGGCGACCTTCGTATTGTGAATCGAGGAATCTGAAAAGCCGAGTCTTTCAAAGAATCAGAAATACTTCAAAATTTCTGAAGTTTACTCGTTAAAGGCTTGCTTGCTCTGGGTTTCAATGTCTTATTATAATATTGTGGCTGTGTTGAACATTATTCAATGTTTCGTTTTCTGTTTCGGTAAGGGTTAGTTGTGAAGGAGCATTAGAGTTTGTGTGCGCCGCCACGCAACCGCACGCAGCAAAATTTGCTTGTCACTACTTCGTCATGGCAGATGAAACGTGATCCATATCAATGGCGAGTGATAAAGTTAGGGCAGATTTTTTGAAAAGTTTTATCGATTTTCACTCCTTATACCTTCAGACCCGCGAACACACCTCCATGCTTTATTCCTGAATCAATAAAATAAAATCAGACGTACATATTCTCATTCTGAAGCTGCAGATCATCAATTTGATTAGTTACAAGTAATCGTCAAAGAATGACGGTTCACAATATTTCAAACCAGATTCAACTGTGAACTGATTTACCCCTTCATATATGGTCAGTCGTGTCGGTTCGATCCACCGAATCGAATCCTATCGCATCTATTCGCGAAATAAACGAACCATCAGATCCCGCCCACTCATTGGCTACAGTATCAAGCGGTGCGGTTGAAAGTGATGAAATATATGGTCCTCTTAGGTATAGTTTAAAAAAAGTTTTCCCTCGTTTTTCCGTTTGTACGCCTTCGTCTCCGATATTGGTGGCAGGGGCACAATCGGTAAATTACCAGATCGTTGCCCTCGAAGGTCTGCAACCGAACCAGTCCATCTCAGCTACCTTCAGTAGACTCGCTTAATAAAGAAGCCCCAAGCGCTTTGTTGTGAATATGCTGCGGTAAATAATTACACTGGCCCTCAATCGAGTAATTTGTGTAACCAACATGATATGTCTTGCACTATTACGGATCAGGGTCAACCCTACGTTGGTACAAGTACCAACGGGGAGGTCGTACTTGGTTTAGCTTGGAGGGGGGGGGTCGTACCCACTTTAGTCGCTTGAAATCACGTGTGGGATTGAGGTGAAACTAAGATTTCGTGGGTAGTAGGCTGGGCGAGTGGAGGTTCGCAGGACCCCCCCGCCCCCCCCCCCCCGCTCGACGGCATTTTTGGAGGAAAAAGTGGGCGGAGTTTGGTGGGTTGAGTGGTACCAGAATTAAATACTATAGAGAGATGATGGTGGTCGAGGTGTCGAAAAGGGGGTCGTATCAAATCCACCTTGGGGGAGGGGGGTCGTAAAAATTTTTCAAAAAGTAACAACGATAGGACCGACCCTGCTTCTGAGTGATGTCAGTGAGAATCGAATGCGCGGCACAGTTTAGAAAAGGCACGTTATGTCCCGCTTTTCACGTTTCGTTTCTCCTCAGTTGGCAAGGAGGAGGAGGTGGCGTTTCATGAGGTGTTGTTGGGAAAAATTAGGCATTGATTGACACCTCATTAGAAATATATCACTTTACATCAGCTATGACATGAAAAGGTGTGAGTCAGCTGATGCAAAAGTTATTAGTTCGATAAACGTACACCTCTGCAAATGCAGAGCGCTCGTTTGATGGCTGAAGACGCTATTTCAGATAAGTACGGTCGGCTGACTGAAATACCACCGATACTTACCAACACCTTCATCCCTGAAGGTCGGATAGGTCGGATAAATGGATTTAGAGCTATGTTGAAGGACAAAACGGTATCCTCGGATGTAGGCACGCCTGTCCGGGCCCACAATCATCCCTATAAGCTCGATTGGAAGTCTTGTGCGCGACGCGCGATGAAAGACACGTAATAAAGCAAGAACTCGAATCATTGACTAAACGAGTTCATGGATATGAGGAAAACCTTCCCCAGTGTTCAATACCTTCTTTTGGTAAATGAACCTTTCGCGCAGTTCGGCGGCAGGGGTTCAGAACCAGGCTGAGGGAGTGTTTTACCCATAGCTTAACGATGAACTGTTCTCTTCATGGTAGTCCATTTGCATCCACATAGCCTTATCCCTCAGCCACAATTCTGGCGCTCTTTAACACAGTGATGGCTAAACTGTCATGTGTAGCCATAAAAGTTTACTACAGCTGATGTTTCAAAGAGCTCATATTTTCTAATCCAATCTTTGACTTTAAAGAGAGCTCCTGAATAGCGAGTATCCGAATAGGCTATTTTTGCAGCCACGTAAGCCTTAGGTTGAAAGTTAGCGGTAGCACTGTATTGTAACATTCCATAAGAGCAATGGTGCCGATAACCGAGCAATGACTAGCTAGTAACGGATGACCAGCTCTACAGGGTTGCCTGCAAGCAATATGTCTTATTTCTTCCCGGGAACCCTCATCTACTGGTAGAAATTTGCAATCCTTGCATGACGAGCATCTCCAACTATTCAGGGAGGTCATGCGAGAAGATGCCGGACTATTATCACCATATTGAGGGCAGTAATTTATCATAGTGATAGAGATGGGCCGAACTAATTGAAGGCACTACCATCCCAACTTTCCTTGGATCCCATCCCATATCCATTCCTGTCGGGGCCAGCGAGATCTACCTACTCCTTGGGCCGGTTGTTTATTAGTAACTCTTCTGGGGGGGTATAAACGCTGGCTAGTGCAATCATCGATTACCAGGGTTGACTGCCTGATGTGTGGTCTCAAGTACTCATCAACGTCATTACAAATTTGAGAGGGTGGTAAATACGTGGCGCATCGAAAGGGTCCCTTTTCAAATAGTCGATATCTTACCAGCTCGATAACTGAACATTAGGAAGGAAATTTCTTCTTGGAACGACAAACACCCAGAGCACCTAGAACTCATGGCTGCTGACGGTCAAGGGGAGTTGCAGTTTCCTGCTTGCAGCCGAGCTGGTCCAACCACACTTCTAGTTAAAAAAGTTCATATGTTCTATATATTCCTTCCTTTCGGGACCTAGAGGAGTTAACATTACATATGGGACCAGCGAGGCCGACTTTGCTTCAATGAATACAAGTAGAAATTCCTCTGAGCTTTCCAGACAGTTTACCATACCACCGACCCTTTTCTACAGAGACAGTCCCTACCGAAATACACCCACTTCACCAAAAGAGAATACTAGAACCTCCTCGTTGAGTTTTGCCGAGAGGACTGTCGAAGCGTTTGTAGAAGCCGACTCAGCAGTAATAAGATCGGAATATCATGTCAATGAAAGGTGTAAGCCTTCTGAGGGTCGCAAGCTCATTTAAAACTCGCTTAAATTTCGATTAGAAGTCGAGTACGTGGCTCATTAAGAGTCACTGGCTAACGACTATCACGTTATTTCTCCAAACGCGGCCGTGATCAGGCCCTGGATCGAAAAAAGTGCAATATATTTGTCGTTCACGGAGAACTACTGAAATAAATAAAATTTGGCACATTGCCCTTTGAAGCTTGCTCATTTGTGTTCAGTATTTTCACAAGATTTTATAGCAACGAGTCTTTCACGCCTCATACAACATAAAGTGCGCTTCGGCGGAATTTCTAGTACATGTGCTAATTTTCCCGTAAAGTCTACTCAACCAACTATCCGTGAAAGTAATCCCGGTGAAATGCCATTTTCCGCTAGGGTTCTCGCATTTCTAAAGCATTACCGAGAAGTATCCAATGAAGAAATCGTAACATTTCACGAAAAGCAGTGAGTGCATATTGCCTGGCCAGAAAACCACTACAAAAGCCAACGTGTCGCGTTATCATTCTGACCTTCAGTTCTCTATCTGGGGCGCCACGCATTCCGTCTGAAAAGGCGGCTCTTTGGAAGGAGAAGTGGTCAGTGATGACGGGTGAAAAAAAACCAACAAAGCAGTCTAAGAACCAAGAAATGAGACCTCTTAAAAGCAACCCTAATTAACTGGTGCTATAGCGCTTCGTGGATAAGTAGCAGCGGAACGACCTGAAAGTGGAGAAGAAAGCAAGAGAACTCTTTGGGAACGCTGAAATTAAGGCCTTAACCTTCAATAAGGTCGGATGTGGTACGATGGCGAGACAGGGCGATCAAAGAAGACAAAATACGCGAGAGAGCACGTCGTTTGAGAGAGCACTGATCTCACCATCTCTTGCGGTAGGTGGGCAGCGTTGGAGTCGGTGTCGATGGTTGCAGGCCCGTAAGGATAGGCGCCCAACTCGCGTAATTTAGCAGACGCAAGTGGAGTGATCAGTAGGGTAGGACTTTACAAATTTTCTTCTGTGATCGCCCGGCTAATAGCACGGGCTAATCCCGGAGTTCGCCTTTTTTAACGTTATTTCCGCGTGAACCAAGCCAGCTAATCCGTACTGCCCTCTTTCAACGCCAACGCCCTTCTGCGGCAAGGCTAGATCACCGGCGTGGAGTTAGCCAGGTCGGTGCGAACACATCGCACAAACGGAGCGCCCTACCCAGGCCGGTGCGCATACCGTTCACTTGCGGCACGCGCGTCGTCTCGAATCATTAGGAACGCCCTCCTCTCATCGTGTTTTTCCCCTTCTCACCTTTGTCATTGTCGAGGAATCTTTCAAGAGGCGAGGTCAGATCACAGAGCGGTGGAGATCAACAGCATCGTCATTCCTTCTTAAGACGATTCATCCAACAAGTCTGGAGTGATGAAGGCTTCGTCTAACCTTACGCAGAAATCGATCTAGTATTCGATCATTGGGCTAAGGTAAGTGCGGGCTAGCGGCTCCACCGGTCATTGTCCCACATCCAGCTTTCCGTACTATTGCATGGGTCATACATATTTCAGCTCCGCTTCGCCCCCGCGTTTACACTCACTCACCAGCTCACGCGTAATGTGAGCAGATTTCCTTCATCCCGAGGGGCGTGAGCCCTAAAAGCTTAGTGCTCGCCCATTCAAAGACCAGATCCTGGTATCCGCTACACTTCGTTGATCTAGGAATGTACGGTATTTTGTTTGCCTGTCAATTGTGTGATGGCTTAGCTGGTCTCAAAGGGTCTTGTAGGGTATTAAGACATATGGCCGGATAAATCGTAAACTAGTTTTTACCCATTAGGTTCCGAACACATCAAAATAGCTGAACCGTCAGCTAACGAAATCATTATCAACATAGTGTGCTGTTAAGGCAAACAAAGGCGCTATAGCTATGCCGAGATTCATCGAAAGTAGAACATGGACTTCAAAAGACCGTGATTAGCCTCAGTAAAACCGCGTCCACTGTCTGTTAGGTCCAAGGTACAGATAATCCGTCGCCAGCTTCTTCCCCCCAAGTGCGTGCTTAAGGCACTAATCGTTACGATTTGGCAACGCAAACGAGCCACCTCTCCCACCCCCATCGCGATTAATGTGTGATCGGCGATTCTCTATACGGCGTCCTCGTCGGCGTGTTTCGCTTCCGTGAACAAACTTTACCACGTTATCCACATC